TGATATTTTTAAGCAATAATTTTCCAGTTTTAAATTTCCAATAAGTATCTCATAATTTTTATGTTTTTTAAAACCGATTTCTAATTGGTGATCTAATTTATTATAACATTACCTTTATTTATTTTATACTACTTATCATATACTTCCCATACTACGCCATAAAGTATTCTATTGAGTCACCATGCACTGATTTCTTGCACTATTTTTGAGGTCGTCAATCCACCACGCAACACGCAATGTGTTTGCTTATTCTTCATATGGTGAGTCTGCGTTCCGAATGAGCGGTAGAAAAAAAATCGACTATACAAAAGTGCTTACATTAAGTTTATTTGAATAAACACTATTTTTATTTCATCTTGTGAGGTGTTCCCTTAATCTGTGTTTATCTCCAGGAGTCCACCATTTGGCAGTCTTATTTCCTTACCAATTACAGTAACTTAGTGGATGGTCTACTGCCATTTCAGCACGTCAAACTTATCGGCGCGGCGTGGTGGGCCGGGTCATTGGGCTCCCTAAAATATGGTCGAGCGCAGTGATGGCTGGCTCATCCGTCATACTCGTGAACGGGTGCTGCTTGTAGGGACTGGTCTGCTCTAATCACTATGACTGATTTCCTCTTATTAATTGTTTAACCAGTTGGTCATATATTCAATATTTTTTTTTATTTGAGTATTTAATTGAATTAGTGCTAATTGGTGGTTTGTATTCACACACACTTAACACACTTAAACTTAAAATGTAAAGTAATAATAAAATTATTTAAAACAGCAACACGCAAGTTTCTTGCTCGTTCTTCTTGTGATGAGACAGCTTTCCGAACGAGCGGTAGATTAAAAAATGTAAGGACTATTCAAAAGTGCTTCAATGTAAGTTTATTTGAATAAATGATTTTCTATTCTATTCTATTCTATCAATCACTGTAGATCTTTTGCAAATATTTTTATTTTAGATTCTATTATGCAATCAAAGACTACTTCCAGCCTTCTGTACCTCGTTTTGCAATTTGTGGATTTTTTTATTGTGTGGAAAAATCTTCAAAAGATCGTCCCACTGCAAGAGAGATGATGAAATGGTCTGTGAGTAAGAACTCATTAAAAACCACATGGTGTACGTATGAGTGTCTTTATCAGGCGACTTCATGTTAGCATACTGCTGTTCGTGTCGTTGTCGCTCTATTTGAGGAATACTAGAGCAGTAAAAAATTAAATGTTATGAAGAACAGAATATATTAATACAATTCTTGTCTCTATAAATTTTACACTATTTTTGCTGAAAAAAAAACGCCTTTTTTATTCTAATTAAGATTTATCTAATTTAGAAATAAGGGGAAGTGATTGTAGAGACTCGCCTATGTTATGTATGTGTAGATTATATATGTCCGTCTCCACAAAAATATTTAATATAATTAAATTTAATTTATTAATCAAATTTGACTGTCTGTATTGACTAATATTTTGGGAATATATTAAGGACATGTAAATATTAATTATTTTATTATTTTATGTATGTATATACAACTGATAAATGGCACATGTTGTCTATTGTATGTCAGAAATGACTAATGTGTTGAACTAATATATGTTAATTATGTTAAATATTATTCACTATCTCATAATTATTTTACTTGGATCTTTTAAAGTGTTTGTTATATTTATCCAATAATATTAGCATTTTCAGAAAGGTCTCAGTAACATTTTAATACGGTTCTTGTTATCATTCAGTTAATAAATGCTCTCCTGTTATTGTTGATTTTAATATTCATTAATAATGTTCAATTACTTTACATTGCTTCATAATAAGTGCGTTCTATAATTCTATTATGGAATAAGTTTTTTTATTAACTATTGGGGTCAGCAGCCTCGAGGGAAACTAGTGTTGTGCAAAACTGGTCTATATTAGCACTCAATCAGATGAGATTTTAAATCTAATCATCAATATTTTTTCTATTTAATTGTATTAGTGCTAATTGGTGGTTTGTATTCACACACTTAAACTTAAAAATGTAAAGTAATAATAAAATGATTTAAAAGAGCAACACGCAAGTTTCTTGCTCGTTCTTCTTGTGATGAGACAGCTTTCCGAACGAGCGGTAGATTAAAAAAAATGTAATGACTATTCAAAAGTGCTTCAATGTAAGTTTATTTCAATAAATGATTTTCTATTCTATTCTATTCTATTCTAATCCAAATCATGATCATCATGTAGTACCTTAATACATATTCCACCTTTCTAAATTCCAATAAGCATTAATTATGTTAGCTACTTCCAATTTGGAATCTAATTCCAAGCTGTTTTTTTATTGTCTTGTCTTATTTACAATTTCACTTTTATCTGCCTCATTTGTCGACAAGCCCGATGCATGTTTGTCTTGAACTTCACAATAATATGTCGAATCGTAACCGGTCGCGACCAGTCCCACAGAAGTTGAACCGTGTTTCTTGACATCGTCAAATGTAAACATTGGCTATTTTCGTCCTGATTGATGATCAGCCGGCCTGACACTGTTTATGAGTTTTAGCAGTGTACACACATACGTGGTTGTTCATTGTTTGCACGACGATACTAATTTGCTGGGCTATTAAAAAGTTTACATGTCGCTGTTATTTTTACAAATGTACAGCAATACAAATAATATAGGAAATTGCAAAATATTAAATTTCAATGATGTAAAATTTGTAGTTTGTATAAATTTTTAAATGTTGTATTTAATACACATTATTTACCTATGTTGATAACTGAGTTTTAACATGAATAATTTTATTGTAAATGAAAACCTTTCGAAAAAAAGGAAGAGAAACCTTTATAATGTAAATCATTTTATACGAATGTATAGTAATACAAATAATATAGAATATTTCAAAATATTATATTTTAAGAATGTAAAATTTGTCTTTTGAATTAATCAATAATTATTATTTTTATATTTTCGTGTTTAATATATATTATTTATATTGTTAATTTGATCTTAACACGAATAACTTTATGGTAAATAAAGATATTTCCCTCTCGAGAAAAAGGAAGAAGAACAGAAAGAGAAATTTTTATAATAATATAATATTTTTTAATTTTTCACTGAAACAGAACAAAATTATTTCAAAGTTCATAATTAATGTGCACATATTAAATTTGCACGTAACTATAGATATTTCTAGATCTTTTTTTTTTTACTACTGTGCATGATAATATATTTTACCACTTTCGTTATTTTTTTTTAAACTTTACACTGTAATTATATAAAAGTTTAACTTAAACCGCCTTCGACTATCTCTACACTCCCTAAGGTTTAATGCTATTAGCATTAAGCTCGCCTATTGTATAAAAATTTCAATAAAGTTTAAATAAATAAATTATTTCAAACTCTGTCAAGACTTAAGATTTTGTTGAATAAGCAATATCTAAAGATATTTCTTGTATTGTGTCTCAATTTAAATTTATCCGCATAGCTCCAATATGACAATAATTAGTCATTTCAAAAAGTAAAACAATAGTCTTGTTTTTTCTAACATAAATTATATTCATAAAAAAATATGTTATCAATTGTTTGTGTTTAGTTCAAGTACACTATACAGGAAAATGGTGGCCGTAATTGAAAACGCACTTGTTATATTTTTACAAAATAATATTTATTTCACAAATTGTCCCATTGCAATGCATGGGTATGTATACAAAATTAAACACAATCCTGTTATAGATAATTGATTACATGATGTATATATCAGTATCGTATTATATGTAAATAATATATTCACTGACGGGATTATTCGTATAAAAAATCAGATCCTTACAATTAAATGCAATATTTACAAGTTTGTTCATATAAAAAAAAAACGTAAAAATATACAATACGCATATTGATAATCTTTATACAGATCGTGAAAAACAATTTTTTTAATTGCTCATTTTTTTAAATTTCGTTTTTTTTAAACAGTACATAGTAAAACAAAAATCTACAATAGCAATATAACATAATTATAATCATACACTGATTTATTTACAATAATACTAGAATTTGGAGTCAAATATATTTCTGACGAAGACAAGCGTGGTACCTAGTTAGTCTTCAAATCAAACAATTTCATAATATTTTCACCTTGATTTTGCATAATTAACTAATATTTGGTGTCTAATTAGATTGAAGCAAAAATATAGCACTTAAAATATATAATTATGACTATCGAGATTATTTGGAACTAAAATAAATTTGAGATCCACATTAACTAAAGAATAATAAATGATTTATTAAATGCTAAACCGCCAAGGGTATTATTTAGAATAAAATAATTGTAATAAATTAAACTACTAGAAATCATTTTCTTAAAAATTGACAAAAATAAAACAAATAAGGAGATCAAATGAAATTATCTTTAAAAACTTAACAGCCCTAATTGATTTACACTATTATATTACACCGTCACTTCAGTTGAACGCTGACAGAACTGATGGTTTATCATCAGGTGTTGATCGCCATTAAGGATATACAGAGATTTCAATATTAAAAACAAATGCATCGCAAAATATCATTAAAAAATCACATTTGCCAAAAAAAAAGTTATTTCCAAAACTTGTTTCGTTTGGAGGGGTTTTGTCAAACTTCACTCAAATTTCACGAACTTAAAGCATATTTTGTAATAAGCACATAAATGTTAGAATCGCAATGACCAAACAAAGTGACGGGGCCAATATTTCTCCCGTCATTTTATTACGGCCAATACCACCTTTAGTTATTTAAGTGCAGTTGGACACAACATCTCATTAACTTTAGAATTATATACAAAAAGACGAACAGTCTTAAAAATACATAACAACAGTCCAGATCTGCTTTGCAGTATCACCGTTAACAAACACTTAAACGTTAGGATCTTCATCTTATCTGATGGTATTGAAGAGTGATGATGTCAGTGACACTTTTATAATGGCCACGACCATTACTAGGTTGACGATGTAGGTCGAATTGCATCTTAAGTGGTACGGTGGTGGGTTAATCTCACGAGGGCACTCACCTCGTCTGTTCTCCTGAACCTCTTGGCCAGGCTGTCTTGATACCAAGATGTGGCAGAGCACCTCGTACAACTCGGCTAGGAGTCGGTTCAACCTAGAGAAGTTCTCCTCGCTCGCCTCTCTCTCACTTGGCAGATTGAATGCTATAGCCATCTTTGTCTTTCGCAGCGTCTTTTTCTACGGAAGAAGCGTGGACAGAATGCCGTTTGTTTTTTATGCATAAATACTGCGGCGGCGATTTAAATAAGTGCCTCACGCTTTTTTAATGTCTCCCGTTGTAGTAGAATTTCTCTGAATTGCAATAATTTTACAATTTTCCCACCTCACCAAAAAATTTTCTTTTCAAAGTCACGAAAATACTAAGTTGTGTCTTCCAGCGTAAAACAAAATTATTGGCTTGGATTAACGTTCGAAATGCGACGTAAACAATCACTTTCACAGTTCATATGGCACAATAAGTTCTAAGTTTAAAAACCACAGTTGAAAATTTGGCTTCGCCGAGATCACGTTATCAGTCCGACCTCAGAAAGTTCACAAGTTCACTAACAAAAGTTTTTAATCAAAACTTCGCACGGGCGCCGTCCATTTCACTCGCAACTCGATAATCGACCGATAGACAGTACGAGCGCGCCAACTAACGCATAATGCATCGCTCCGATTATTAGATGTAAACAAATCTGCACTCCGCACGCCGATCGACAAAAGAGGTCGGCTGACGACTATTGTACGTGCGGCCGCTGCGGAAGCAAATCGTGTAATAAGGGATAATACTTCGTGCACATCATTGCCTCGCTCACCGTCCGCCGCATGTGTTGGTGCGGTGCATAATGTAAGCACACACGCACACAGCCGCGACCCATTTGATTATAAATAGTGGAACGCACGGTAGCACGTTCCCTTCGCACTCTACAACCTCGACACGTTTTCCTGTCTCGTTCACACTTTCTCATTGTTGCATCTTCCTTTCTCGTGTCAAGCTGGTTACATCATGTAATAGCAGCGCTCGAGTAAATGTCTCTCTCTCGTTCTGATGACACGTTGCGATCCCTTCGCGAGCGGGAAGGAGAGTGTTACTGCGCTTTTGGATTTGGAAACGAAAAAGCGCGCCAAAGCGAATTAGCCAATCGGAGCGGTTATTTAGTATGGGGTGAGGTGACGTAAGGATAGAGGACTCGGTGTGCGGGGTTGTTAAACGGAGAGCGTTCACTCGGCTACGGGCTCGCCGCCGAACTCCTACTAAAATACGTATTGTGATACTGACGAGGTTTAACGGCTCTTTGTTCGGACGTCCGCGAAGCTGGTTTTAACGCGAGTTTAGGTTCGGGCTATACGATACTGTGACACGAGTTGGCGCGTGTGTTTTATTTGAAGCGATACAGTAATAGTATGTTTGTACGTTCACATATAAACCCGTTTTACTGCCGTGGTTTTGCCATACGCGCTTGGTTTGTGCAACCGAAGGTGTTTTAGGGTTTATTGGCTTTGGGTTCGAGTGGAAACCTTTGTTTAGTATTGGTTCAATACGGGCAATAAAATTGATACCGCGGTTTTCGTACGTAAAAACACTTAATGAACCACTCAAATAGATCGACAAACTGTGTTAATGTAATTGCTCAATATTTAACTAGTTTCACACTTGTAATATTCGGTTAACAGTTCAATATAGTTGAAATAAATTGTAAGTCAATAAAAAAAATACTTAGAAGTGTCTCACTAAATATAATTTAAATAAAACATAAACACAATCTAAAATATCTGTGATAAATTAATAATGAACAAACTCCGAAAATCTCGTAAATGATGTAATAAAACAAAATACGTGTAAAATATTCAAAAATACTAAATATTATTTAGGTTGCTATCGTGATATTTTACGTAAATATTTTTGTAAGTGAAAATATAAAACGTACTTAGAAGTAATATTCACTTTTTACTTAACTAAAATTCGAGTTCACGGTCGCGCTGCATAGAGTAGAACGGAAAATGTACTAAAATATCGGAAAATATAAAATAATGACTGATGATTATTATGATGATACTGATTTTCATGTTTTTCAGCTGCTACAATGATTTATAATATTACAGGTTATGTATATACAATCACTACATTATTTACTACACAACATATAACATTTTACGATAAATATTTAAAATTAAATTAGAAATATATATTTTGCAATAATTTTTCATCATATAATTTTTTTAAATACATAATCACTCAGTGTTTTGTATACATATGTATACAAAACACACAGATCAACAAAAAGAGATATACTCATGAATACAAATGTTTATACAGAGTGCTGTATTTTTTTTCTATGATCATTTTTTATTTATACCTTTATACTTTTCTCACACAAGAAAATATTTCTAAAAATTTTATCCATTTTAATTTTTTTTTTAATTTTCATAGTTTTTAACACTATTGTTACAAAAAATTAATATTTACGATTATTATTTTTTATAATGTTTACAAATAATTAATACTTACCCGTGAAATAATAGGTTTCAGAAACTTTTAAAACACCTCTGCATCCAATAATTCACTAGAGAGCACTGGGCAACCGCGGAATCAAACCTTGGTAGATTGTTAGTCAATAACAGGCCGTTATGGAATTAGTCATAGGCAAACAGATTTATTTTTTACCTCAAGGATTCCCCTGCCGTAAAGAACAGAACAAATATTATTTAAAACTACACATCATCGAAAGTACGAGAAAGAATTCGTGAATGACAATAATCTTTAGTATTTTGATTCCAATGAATCAGTACTATGACTATCACATAGTCATCATTACATAGTATAAAACATAGTCGCTGTGGCTGTCTATCTGTCTGTCTGTCCTATGTTTGGTTAACTCTTTAAAACTACGCAACAGATTTTGAAGCGATTTTTTTAAATAGAAAGAGTCAAGAAGTAGGTTTATATGTATAATATGTGTACACCCGTACGAAGCCGGGGTAGGTAGCTAGTTCATTCTTAAAAGAATAATAATAATAATCCTAGGACAATTCACACAGCGCCATCTAGTCCCAAGTTAAGCTAGCTAAAGCTTGTGTCACGGGTACTAGATAACTGATACAAGTACATAGATAATTTGAAGTAAATATATAAAAAGCATTTCAAATGAAAACATCTATGTACCTTCATGGTAGGGCCTTTGCAAAGTAGGCAGAAACAATCGAGAACTATTACCTTCTAGTCTTATACACAACTCTTGTTTTAGTCACTTTCATAACTCGTCCCATGAATTCCTGACAAGCTAGAGTTTCATGACTCCTCCTCTCAGAAAAGGAGTTGCAATTCAAATGCTTTATGAGTTCGCTTATTTTTTTTAATTACAACAGAATAAAAAAAAGTCCAAATTAAAATTAAACATGTCCAAACATGTCTCTACAGTCAACATGAAAGTGGGTCACCCTACAATGACTAAGCAGTATTGAACGAAATGTCAATGCATAAAATATGATTCTACTTTGAACTTAATTCTTTTATATTGAGTATTTATATATTATACAGCAGTATACACAGCAGCAGCATCCTCGGTGGTCTAGTGGTTTAGCACACCGCTTTACTATCCGATGGTCGTGGGTTCGATTCCTCGCACGGTACAAAAAATAGTATTCATGAGTATGATTGTTTGTATCGGTCTGGGTGTTTTCTATGTATAATAAGTATTTATTTACAAAAAAATATAATAAATATATATAAGTTGTCTAGTACCCATAACACAAGCTCTGCTTAGCTTGGGACCAGATGGCGCTGTGTGAATTGTCCTGAGATATAATTATTATATATTTTTTTATTTATATGTCATCTACAGTGGAACCCGCAACCATCGGAAGTAAGGCAGTTTACTAACCCGCTAGGGTTTAGTACCTACACTGCCTTATTTTAAATAATCACGTGGTGATCTCGCAGTAAACATTTGTATTTATGAGTGCAAACAATTGCACTCATGAATACAAATGTTTATTATTATTTGTATTAATTATTTATTAATAATTTGTCCATGCATATCAGTAGACTAGTTGGCGCTGTGTGGACTTTCCAGAGTTATTATTATTATTATTAATATATTTCTCTTTTAATAAATTTGTTATCGATAAACATTTTAATATATAATATACATACCAAATTAGTGTATTTAAGAAATGTGTATGATTGTTTTTGTTTTATTTACGTATTTTAAAAGTTAATAAATAATTATATACCCAACTATATTATCTATTAAGAAATAGGACATTTTTCATACCAAAGCATAAGAAGTCTACAAATCTTTCATACCAAAAGCTCTCGTTAACTTTAGAAACACTAGCAAAATTGTATTACCAAGTTTCGTCAACAGATGGCGTTACTAGTCCTAACTCATTGCTCTTATTCTGTTATTTGCTATTTTATGATTACAATGAATTAATTTAGAACTAAATATTATATTATCTGTAGTAAAAAAATAAAGATAAACAAAGTTATTATTTGTGTAGTACATTAAGTTGTGAATTACGTTATTTATGCATAGTATAGTTATGTGAGGAAGGAGAGAATTGCAATATGGCGATAGTTTCACGACAATGTAAGTCTTAAGAATGCGTTATGTAAATCCCCCCAAAGTACTGGTTTTAAGGGTTTTATTTTAAATAATCATATACTATTTGCTGTCGTTTAGAATAATAAATAATATCTAAGTCATAAAATGTAAGCGATTTTGAAACTATACCTATTTTGATACTGGCACATAATAATAATTTTATATTTTTTCATTGAAGTTGTCTTTTGTTTTTATTGGAATTGATTTTTTTTTTTATAACACAGCGGACAAACGAGCATGCGGCTCACCTGATGGTAAGTGATTACCGCCGCCCATGAGCACCCGCAACACCAGGGGAATTGCAAGTACGTTTTCGCCCTTTTTAAAAGGACTAAGCTCTTTTCTTGAAGGTTTCAATATCGTGGAAGGTGATTCCACAATGTCGTTGTGCGAGGCAAAAAGTTTCTAGAAAACCGTACTGTGGAAGACCGCCATTCATCCAGATGATCAGGATGGTATTTTAAAGGTATGATTGTTTTTTTTAGATTAATACAGTTGTAATTATGCGTTTGTATATGGACAGAGATGCAAAGTCTCACGGCAAAGTAAATGGATCGAATCATGAAAAATTAAAAAAAAGTGTTTATCAAAGAATGTTGAGAATCCGCTATTTCTTTATACTCACGCCACAAATCAATACAAAGAGCAATCAGGGCAAGTCCAAACCGTAAAATCGAGCAGTAGCTGCCACGGCGTATTAAGGATTACCGCCAAGACGGGCCCTTTGAAGTTGACGTACAGTCAACCACATAAAGATATTACTTGACACGGTGGTCAAGTTATACTGGGAAGAAAATTAATTTTATTTTATATTTAGGGGTTAATTTTTGTTTTTATATTTCCATAAATTCTGTAGCGGTGTATTGTGCTACTAACATTGGGATGGGTTACAAATTCGATTCCTGAAAAATATATACAGCTGAGTTTGGTTGTATTATTCAAAGGTATTTTGTTACATACTGTAAAAATTTACTGTCTTTGTGTATATCACTTTTCAGTACCAAACATACAATCTGCTTCGTCTATAACTAGAAGGCGCTGTTCAATTGTATTTATTTATATTATGTAACCGTTACGCAACACACTTAGCGGAAGCACTCAAAATGAGTATTTTTTGTCACATTTTTCATTTTTGCTCCGCTCCAGTTGGTCGTGGCGTGATGTTATATAGTCTATACCACTTCGGGACAATATACCTTTCTAACAATGAATTTTTAAAATCAGATCAGCAGAACCGGAGATTACCCTGAACAAACAAACATACAAA